GATTTTTTGACATTTAGAAATTATTTATTTTTAAAGCGTTAGATTTTATTGTAATGACATACTCTTATAGCTATAAACCATTTCATGACATGTTTAAAATTAAATGTTTCAGAAATTTTAGATATATGTGTCAAATGTCTTTCTTTATTTCTTAAAATTTTACTAGTAATTTTCACAATATGAAAGGGAGCCTAGGAGCAACGGTCAAGTTGTCTCCGTGTAATCTAAAGGTCATGAGTTCGAGTTATGAAATCAGTCATTGATGCCTGATGCAAGGCTGTCTACATCACACTCCCTTAGCAGCCTTTCCTCGGAACTTGCGTGACCGCGGGATGCTTCAGCTACTGATATATGTTTTTTTATTTCTTAAGATTTTACTAGTGTCTCTCTCTCTATCTATCTATGGAAAATTTTATTTTGTGTCTCATACAACTGACACTAGTTGTATAAGGTAACTTTTTTGTCTCACAGTTTTGTGGACCCAGATTTCTATGGATCCAGAAGTGTAAGAATGGGGTCCACAAATTTGTGAGACAAAAAGGAGTCTCATACAACTAGGATAAGTTGTATGAGACACAAAATAATATATATATATATATATATATATATATATATGTGTGTGTGTGTGTGTGTGTGTGTACGCGCGCGCGCGCATATATACGGAACATAATGAGATNAAATATCCCCGAAACATTGATTGACTTTTATAACCTTGAATACATGTTTAATTTAAGAATATAATTGTAAATCAGATTGAAATTTTTTTCCGATTTAAATTGCACCTACCGAGCAAAAAGGAAAAAGTGTGAATGTGAAATACTCCTATCCAAATTGATTTTGGATTCATCCTCCCGCACCAACAATACAATATTTTACCCTCCTATCTGATATTTTACACAATGCAATATACAAACTAAAAGAAAACACCAAGAAATAAAAAAGCCTAAAAATTCTTTCTCTTTATCCAGAGTTTTTTTGCCTACTTTTTCTTGCAACAAATGCTTCGCACAATAGTCTTCTTCTTGGATGACAATATACTTCGTCCAATTATTCTTTCCCAGTTTGTGTGGGATTTGGATTCATTAATTATAAAAAAAGGTTAGTTTACTTGAAATCCTAATTATCAGTTAATCATCATTTCATCCAAATTAAAATATTTTTTAAAGGATTAAAGAGTTGATCAATATCTCAATACAGTTACACTTACTTTTTAATTATGTGAATCACTCATATAAAAGAAACTAAATTAAAAAAAAAAATCCCCAGTTGCTACCATTATAATAAGATAGAGATACACATATAAAAAATTTAAATATAAAGTTGTGTTCTTAGTACCTAACTAAGAGAAGATGAGAGGAATAGTATGAGCAACTAGATCGTTGTTATATAATCATTTATAATGAGATCGAAAAATTATGAGATCTTATCTTTGATGTGTATAATTCTTTCCCTTTATAATTTATGTGAAACTTGATGGACCAATAAGTTATCGCACGTGCCTTTCTCGTCAAAACTTGACTTCTCAAGCCAAAAAATGACTGGTAGTTTTAAAATTATATATATTTAGTAAATATTTTCAATATGTTTATATTTATAATGACAATCAATAAATTATATGATCGATCAATCCTACTGTTAAATTATTTGTCATGACATATTTTTCCAAATGGGTAAGAAGAATAAAGAAATGTACCAAGACATCAAGTTTAAAGAGGTATTAAGTGGATGTGATCTAATAACATTTTTGTACTTCATAAAATAAATTTAATGGAATTAAAAATAATATTACATAATATCATTGTTTGTAATGATTGTCTAAGAATAACGTGCAAAGCACGTTCATAGAGACTAGTATATATATATATCCCGTATCAAAATACTACATTCAATCAAACTCGCAGCTAATAATCTATAACCGCTACTGAACACGTTTTTATCATGGACGAGTTAGACAGATAAAATATTTTGGATTGAAAGTTAACGTTAAAAATAAATTAAGCCAATTTGGTTTCTGTTTGGTCGTTTTCTTTCTCCTCCATTAAATTGAACGAGGAGAAATAGCCAGAAGCCCACTTGGATAACGAAATATCCTTCTTTCTACATATAAACAATTGTCATTTTATCACAATTTATTCAAGAAAATGCTCTTTCACACCCTTAATACCCAAAGGTCAAAAAGAAATGTGTACAATGCTTTATACACCACACAATGTCTGTCATATATTAAGAGGAGAGACAGATAAGAAAAGAAAAAAAATATTTTTCTTTTTTTAGGAAATTGATGGAGATAAATAGGGTAGGGACCAAAAACCATTACGTTGACAGGAACTATTCCTCTCTATTTCTATTTTCTAATGTAAATTTCCCATTTGTAAATGAGTAAGAATGGTTAGAGGAAGTCATTATTCATGAAAAATATTTTACGTGTTTGATTGGTGAATGAAACTTTTTCAAAAATAAAAATATATTTGAGTTAAAAACGCTAGCAAATCGGAGATTCAGGGAGTATTTTAAGTAATTTTTTAAATATTAAAAACCATATAATAATATTCAATTGAATAAAGTAATATGAAGTTTAAAGACTAGACATTACTTTCGCCCATAGTAACAGAAATTAATTCCCCCCATTTAATGTTTGTCGATCACCAAAATTCTCGTAAAAAAATATTTATATTTTTGAACACCGCAGCTGATTCATTTGATGATTCGTCCATCTTTATCTATAAATAAAAATTGAAAATCAAAATCATATTTATTTTTATTTTAATCATCTCTTAGATAATGTTAGAATTATATCAAATTCCGATGGTACAAGTCGTGTTAGGATAAATAGGGAACCGGTGTTGATTCCTTAGGGAAAGAAAGGAACAAAAGACAGTTTTTTATTAGGAAAGGGGTAGGAGGTGATAAGGAAAAATAGGCTAAATAATCATAGCTTTTTCTGAGTTGAATTCATAATTTATGTGGGACGTAAAACCGTTATTATGTTGTACTAAATATTCAATTAGCGATATCCTCTGCATGTCTCTCCAACATAGGTCTGAAACTCGTATCTAAACTTCTACCTCCGCCCATGTTAGTGAGAGCAAATTATTTCTCATTTGTCGGCAAGCAGAAAATATTTACTAGCACCCAATGTTTATAGCTAACTTCAATAACTTATTATTAGGGGTGTACATATGTCGGATTGGTTCGGATTTTGCAATTACCAAATCAAACCAATTGTGTCAGGTTATTAAATTTAAAGACCAAACCAAACTAATAAAACTCGGGTTTTTCAATCTCGGTTTTTCGGGTTTTTTCGGGTAAAATTTTCGTAGCACAAAACATATAACTTGTGCTCAAAACATTTCTTTAATCATAGTAAGATATAACTATATAAAGTATTTTTCAAGAAAATAATGAGATGTGTCATGTCTTATCTTAAAATATTCAACACTAAAGACAATAAAATTACGTAATATAAATATTGCTAATTAAAAAGCAATAATAAAAATAGACATAATCTAGAAGTACTAAGTCATGCTAAAATAAGTAGACTAATAAGGGAGTATTAATTACATGACTAAACGCTAATAGGTTATGCATTTTTATTTAAAATATTGCAAAACTAAAAATAGATATTCAATACATTCCCATTTGAAGTATTGAATTGAATGTCTTTGTTAGCATTAGTATTGATTTGATTTTGGTTTGGGCTTTTGCTAGCATTATTTAATTTACTAATATTAATGGCTATAAAACTTATTGAAACATTCAAAAGTTCTAAGTCCAACCTTGAAATAATACCTTAGAAGATAAAATTATGAAAATTTTTAAGAAATATTTATAAATTACATCACAATAAATATATTTATATATTAAATGTATCTAAAATTTCTATATATGTAATGTCGGGTTGGTTTGGTTTCGATTTGACTTTCTTTAGTTAAAACCAAACCAAACCAATTATGGTCGGGTTTTTTTCCCAATACCAAATCAAATCAAACCAAACCATAATCGGGTTTTTTTTCTCGGTTTAACTCGGATTATCGGGTTGGTGCGGTTTATCGCTTTCCTTTGTACACCCCTACTTATTATGATTATGTGATAAAATGATGTGAGAGTGTCTTTTAATTAACCATGTTTAACATACACAACTTAATGTATAAATTTCATGTCATGTTTTTATTAATGTGCAAGCACCTAACCTATGTGTGGGGCAGCAATACGACTGAGTATTCACATTAGGGACCATGCAATTACTCTTGCTAAAGCCCTAGTTTTAGGACCGCCTGTCTCAATTTGTAGCATTTACTAGCATGCTCTATCACGCCCATGCCCCACTCCCCCCTGTTATAGGGCGCCCAGGTGTGCACTACCGCGTTCACACAGGGTCCAGGGACGGGCCGCACGCTAAAGGATGTGATGTAAACAACCTACCCTAATGCAATCATTAGTGGCTGGTTCCACGCCTCGAACCCATAACCTATAAGTGGATCGCATTAGAGAATTCATGTCATTTTCCAGTAAATTCCCAAATATGCGACCCACCACATTTTTGTCACACACACCCCGTCGCCCTGTGCCAGTCAGTAGGCGCAAAGAGGGAGAAGAAGAAACAACTCCACAAAGATCTTCAAGTAGCTAATAAATTGTTCCAGAAAGTTTTGCAAGTGGCCTAAAAATCAATTTCAGGAGGTCCACAATCCAGAACAATGCACATTTTAAGGCAGAGTAATCAACCAAACATTGTCCCATATCACAAAGAACCAAAGAGATAAGAGATACCAAAAAGTATACTAAAGGAAGGAATCTCCCCATATATTACAACAACAATAACTTACCAAGTGTATTCCCACAAATGGGGTCTGTAAATGGTAGTATATACGCAAACCTTACCCCTACCTTGTGAAGGTAGAGAGGCTGTTTCCGGAAGACCCTTGGCTCAATAAAGCAAAATCACAGCAGTTATGACAAAGAACTATGGAAAGCGAGATAGCAGCAACAGCCAGAAAAAATAAAGAAGATCTAAAAAAGGGGGAAAATCCCCCCATATATTGTACATTATATTTGGAGGTAACACTTCTAACAGTATCATGCAACAAGATTTCAATGCCCCAGCAGAATCTAAAAAAGATATATGCCATTTAAAGATATATGGTTTAGCTTCCTCACACTTTCGAAAATTCAGATACCATATCTTTCACTTTGTGATCCAAATACAAAGTTAAATTCACAAAGCAAATAAAAGATAGCATCTTCCTTGATAACGAAATGTATCTGCATGACAAATAAATACAGATCATGATCAGTCACTACTCCATGTTCCGATATAACACAAACCTTTACAGACACTTGACATGAACAGATTTTTCTTGAAAACAATGACTTTTAAGGCCTTTATACATTTGAAATTTCTAAAGTTAAGCTAAAAGATAGATAGCAGATCAACATTGTCTTTGGGATCAAAGGAATCAATCAACTATGTCGTAAATTACCAAATATTGTCTAGGACATATGCGTCAAAAAAGAAATTCTGCATGTTTTGGCTAGATGAATATGAATGGATAAGCAATAGGCATGTGCCAACAAACATCATAGATAGTAGAACATGCAAATTGGTCTCATTACAGAGACTGCAGTTACTCACGTGTTTAATTGAAAGGCAGCTCCTTAGACTTAGAGTGAGTAGCTCCAAACGCGAATTTCTCCTTGATACTCATCTCATGTTCTCAAACTTAATGTACAGTGATTGGACAAGGACAGCATGGACGCGTTCTTCTTTTCAGTTCCACTGTGCCAATGGTTCAACAAATGGCAGCAGAGCAGAGATCGAATACTGGTTTAGGACAGGTCGAGATCTATCTAGCTGCAACAAATATTTTTTATCGAAGTGTTACTCAATATGGAAATAAATTTTCAATCATATTCACATTAGAACATGCGGATTGGTTCCATTACAGTGACAACAGTTGCTTACAAGTTTAATTGAAAAGCAGCTCCGTTGAGCTTTTCCAAACACAAAGATGACAAAGCACAATGTCTCTTTGAAACTTATCCCATGTACTCCAACTTAAACATACAACAATGAGAAAAGGACTCGTGTAGGCATTTTCTTTCATTCCCACTATCTCACTGCTATTTCTGTATGACTGTCTCCCTTGATTCACAAGACTGATGGTGGCATTGGTCAAGTACTCTACATAGGTGCTCCAAGGGTCCATTTCATTCCGAAAAGACAATGTGTTTTGTACTCGTTATATACAGGAAATGCCGGCTGAAAATAATAGTTACATCTGCTGCTGACATTCTAGCTCCCACTTACCTATCTAAAACGACATTCTAGCTCCCGCTTACCTATCTAAAACAACAACAGCAAAAAATCCGGTGTAATCCCACATATTGGGGTCTGGGGAGGGTAAAGTGTACACAGACCTTACCCTACCTTGTGAAGGTAGAGAGGTTGTTTCCAATAGACCTCCGGCTCAATCCACTTACCTATCTCCATATGACTTAATTCTTCTTGTTCCATGTTCATGCATATAAAGAAGCAAATTCCAAATTGTAGCCCATCCGTGTATGGGGATGTTCCTGCATTTAGTACTGAGTGCATTGAGAACAAGTGACTATTGCCATAAAGCCAGCATGCTGATTGGTGTTGGGACTCGTAGATTCCAACATATAAGAAAGATTTCAATTCACAAAAGCATGGTTTGGCAAAGGAAGACAAAATATAGCAACTAAAGCATGAGTGTCAAAGTCCAACTAATTGTATATTTGATATCATAATAACAGGAGTGCCAAATTGCAACCAATTATACATATGATGTTGTAAAGAAGCATAAAAACAACTGAATCAATGCCTAAATATTATCAAATGGGCTGTTTATTAAAATAATGAATACTAAACCCAAGGGTAAGGGTGTGGCCTAGCTAGGGTTGAAAGCAGAATTAATTTCATTCCATCAGCTTTAGCTTTGGTGGACCGAGTTAGCAAGACTTGTGATGGTTGGAGGTAAAAGGTACAATGTGCAATAATCGAGATGCGCCACAAGCTGGCCTGGACAATACTGTTACTTAAACAAAAAAAAAAGAATGAAACTAAAAGTGAACTGATGAGCAGTCAAGAACAAGTAAATCTGCCTTACAAAGCCAGAGACTATGAATAAGAAGATAGACTTAGCTTGCAAAAAGCTTGTAAGTACATTTATTAACTTCAACCATGTTCGATCTGAAGTAATTAACTAATGCATACACACTTCAACCTACCTTGACTTTTCTTACAACATCTTCCACAACAACAGATCAATCTTTCTCTTCAAACTCTTGAACAAAATATCTCGCGATCAAGCGCCTTTCTTCGTGTGCATGCTTTTTAACCTCCCTCATTACCCTATTGTATAAAAATAAAAACAATACAACAATTTCAGACTAAATAGGCCCGTAGTTAAGTAATAAAGTACAAGATATGTTGTAGTTAAGCAAAACAATATGAAAAACTTCAGACTAAATAGACTTGTAGTTTAACAAATACAGTACACAACTTCAGCTCTAACAATACTGAAGTTCAGCAAATACAGAGCAAAACCTTCAGGTTATGAAAGTCAAAGAAACTTGTAGTTCAAACAATGCTGAATAAAGAACTTCAGACTAAAAAAAAAACTTACATCAATACTATGTTAACTAATTCATCATCAAACCCCGTTAAAGAAAGTTTCAAACGACTGTGGGTACGAGGTGATTCTCCAATTAAAGGAGTTGAATTCATTTCCTTTGACCAATTCCAACTACGTGATCATTCTCTATTTAAAGACACTGGATTCATTCCTTTTGAATGATTGCATGGTAATTGTCCAATTAAAGGCATTGAATTCATTTCCTCTTCGGTAGATTATCTCTAATATCCTAAATATCTAATATTTCTGTTTAATAGATGAAAAGTATATTAGGAAAAATAAAACTGATACATCAACATATTAACAAAACTACAGGAGAAAAAATGAATGTTAACTTACTGCACGATTACTGTTGCGAAACTCATAAAGTTTTTTATATTTAGGCTCCCCAAGATTGGATAACCTAACATCCCGGGGATTTGAGGGACATGACTATATTGGTCAGTTTTTAAATATATGTCCCGAATATTTGGAAAGTGCTCATAGAACCAAACATACAGTGGATACTGAAATTCCCCTACACTACACTCAGATGTATTACTTTTGTTCTTGTTGTCCAAAACATGTTTCAAAGAAGTTATCAGTTTATCATAAGACGCATTGCCAAGGATAATTAAAACAAGCCTATTCGTCTTTAGCAACAACTGCATACTCCCAAGACACAGTTGCTTCATGTTTTCTTCCAAACAAAATAGACTCAACAATTAGAATTTTCACATCTTTATCACTTTCACGTACATTTCGAAATTCACATCATCATCTTTATATTCATTCTTTAACATGTAATCTCGAATATCCTTCAATATTAGACCCTTAGACTTCCCCATGATAGCACTTCATAATCTTACAATCTCGTTTAATTGGTTTTAACATTATGTGTTGTGATCCTCAAACCACTCATAGTGTGAAAATTTTCAAGGCAAAACGACACTCCACGGCCAAAAATCTTGAAACTAATTGGTGTATACACGAGAAAGGATCCAACAGTGAACCAACTTCATATTCAACTGTAATTCTCCACAGGCATGATATACCGAAATGTAACGTTACTCAGCTTCTCCCGTTGTGCATTCTCTAGTTGTGCGGGAGACGAGAAAGTTGTAATTAAACATTTCAAATCATGGTTCCCCTTCCCGTAAGCAGGGGCATTAACCCAATCTCCAAACTATTATATCTCCTCTGGTTGTACTAAAGCTCCTAGAGTACGTAAAGTGCCTTCAACGCCCGTTGCAGTACCTAAAAGGTCAGGGGAGAGATTGTGAGTTTGGAGATTGGTTTAATGCCCCTACTGAAAAGGGAACCATGATTTGAAGGGTTTAATTACAACTTTTTCGACTCCTGCACGAGGGAGAAGCTGAATAACGTTACATTTCGGTATATCATGGCTATAGAGAATTACAATTGTAATATGAAGTAGGTTCATTGTTTGATCATTTCTCGCGTATACATCAATGACCAAGATTCAATTAGTTTCAAGATTTTTAACTGTGAAGTGTCGTTCAGCCTTGAAGACTTTCACATTATGAGTGGTTTGAGGATCACATCACATAATGTTGAAAAACTAATTAAACAAGATTGTAAGATTCGGAAGCGCTATCTTGGGAAATCTAAGGGTGTAACGTTGAAGGACATTCGAGATTACATGTTAAAGAATGAATATAAAGAGGATGATGTGAATTTCAAACATGTATGTGAGAGTGATAAAGATGCAGTGACGCTTATGGAAATTCTAAATGTTGAGTCTATTTTGTTTGGAAGAAAACATGAAGCTACTGTGTCGGAGGAGTATACAGCTATGTAGAAGACGAACAAGCTTGTGCTAATATCCTTTGGGCAATGTGTCTTATGAGAAGTTGATAACTTCAATGAAACATGTTTTGGCAACAAGAACAAAAGTAATACATCTGAGTATAGTGTAGGGAGATTTCCATATCCACTGTGTGATTAGTTCTATGAGCACTTCCCAGATATTTAGGATACAACAACAACAACAACCCAGTAAAATCACACTAATGGGGTCTGGGGAGGGTAATGTGTAAGCAGACCTTACCCCAACCCCGAAGGAGTAGAGAGACTGTTTCCGAGAAACCTTAAACTCAAGAAAACAAAAAGACAAAAGGAGATAATATTTGGGATAGATATTTAAAAGAGGACCAATACAGTCATGTTCCTCATATCCTACGATGTTAGGTTATCCAATATTGGGGGAGCCTAAATATAGAGAACTTAATGAGTTTTACTTCAGTAATCATGCAGTAAGTTAATATTCTTTATTTTTCTATAATTTTGTTAATATGCTGATGTATTAGTTTTATTTATTTTTCCTAATATACTTTTCATCTATTAAACGAAAATATCAGGCATTCAATGTTTTGGAGATAATCTCGATCAAAAAGGAAACGAATTCAATGTGTTTAATTGGACAATTACCATGCAGCCGCAGTCGTTCAAAGGGAATGAATCCAGTGCCTTTAATTGGAGAATCACCACGTAGTCGGAGTCAGTCAAAGGAAATGAATTCAACTCCATTAATTGGAGAATCACCTCGTACCCACAGTCGTTCGAAATGTTCTTTAACGGGGTTTGATGATGACTTAGTTAACACAATATATGATGTTAGTTTTTTTATTTTTGTTTTTAGTTCGAAGTTCTTTGTTCATCATTGTTTGAACGACAGGCTTCTTTAACTTTCATAACATGAAGATTTTGTTTTGTATTATTGTTAGAACTGAAGTTGTGTACAGTGTTTGTTAAACTACAAGTCAGTTTAGTGTGAAGTTTTTCATACTGTTTTGCCTAACTACAACATGTTTTGTTTGAAGTTTAGTACTGTATTGTGATGACCCAAAAGATCATCTTGTGTTTTAGAACCCAATTCGGGGTTCTGAGGTCTTCCAGACCTCATTTTTCTTTCTCCTCAATTTGAATGCGCAGTCCGGGCGCGTTTCCGGAAAGCCTTTATGTAAAATTTAAGAAAAATATTGAAATTTGCTTTTAAAATTAATTAAAGTTGACTTCGGTCAACGTTTTTGGTAACGGACCCGTGATCCCGACGGTGGGAAATCAAGGTTCTCATGTCGTGGTTCCGGCACCGGGTGTTCCACCGCCCGCTCAGCTGGCTAGAAATAGGGGTCAGGCAGCTAGAGGTGGAGGTCGAAGTATTAGAGGTGGAGGTCGGGCCGCTAAAGGTGGAGGCCAGCCAGCAGGAGGTCGTCCCAGGGAGTAGTTCAAAGTGGTGGGCCCAGCCCCGATGTTATGTTTTCCCAGCCAGGCCTGAGGCTGTCTGATGCCGTTATCACATGTACCGTTTCAGTTTGCAGTAGAAATGCTTCAGTTCTATTTGATCCAGAGTCTACATACTCTTATGTGTCATCTTATTTTTTGCTACGTATTTGGTTGTGCCTCGTGATTCTTTGAGTGCTCCTGTATATGTGTCCACACCGGTGGGTGATTCTATCGTCATAGATCGTGTCTATCGCTCGTGTGTGGTTATTATTGGAGGTCTTGAGACCCGTGTAGATCTCCTACTTCTTGATATGGTCGATTTTGATGTCATTTTGGGGATGGATTGGCTGTCACCTTATCATGCCATATTGGACTGTCATGCCAAGACTGTGATCTTAGCCTTGTCGGGGTTGCCTCGATTGGAATGGAAAGGGACTCCTGGTCATTCTACTAGTAGGGTCATTTCTTACATCAAGGCTCGGCGTATGGTCGAGAATGGGTGTTTGCCTTATTTAGCTCATGTTCGCGCTTCCAGTGCAGAGGTTCTTTCCATGGATTCCGTACCAGTTGTTCGTGAGTTTCCAGAGGTATTTCCTGCAGACTTGCCGGGGATGCCACCCGACAGGGACATTGACTTTTGCATTGATTTGGCTCTGGGCACTCAGCCCATTTCTATTCCGCCATACCGTATGGCCCCGCCAGAGTTGAAAGAATTGAAGGAGCAATTGCAAGATTTGCTTGATAAGGGCTTTATTAGACCTAGTGTCTCGCTCTAAGGTGTGTCGGTGTTGTCTGTTAAGAAGAAGGATGGGTCTTGTCTGACCAGTTCAGGTTCCGGAAGGATTCATAAATCATAGCTACTCTAGTGTTGCAGGACACACTAGTTCATTTGTCAAGGTTGGACAAGTTTACCAAGATATTTCCAATCCATCTCAGTGGTACGCCTTTTGAGGACTCACAGGATTATCTTGACCGCTGCTATGAAGTATTGCAGATCGTGAGAATAGTCGAAAGCGATGGGGTTGATTTTGCTGTGTTTCAAATGGCAGGTGGAGGTAGTGGAAAGATAATGTATTTACTAGACCAGTTGTGGTTCCGACGGAAGATGCGGACGTGTTAAGAGATCACCCAGTGAATCATGTAGGGGTGCAACGGACCTTGACGTCTGGTTGATTTATTTGAGTTGCGAAGGTCAAATATTGTGGAGTATCGAGGAAAATCCTTCTAATATGCTCCACTCATGAGTGAGCTCAATAACCCTGAAATCTACTTATGAGAATACTCCTATTGGGACATTATATGGAGATAAGTATGTTTATCATTATGTGTTGGTCACTAAAAATAGTTGTGAGGCTAAGAATGACTTTTGTTAATCATTTCGGTACGTTGATGTAATTTCCAGATAATTGATTTCAATTATGAATTATATGCCCTACCGGTATGAGGGTTCATTATATGTTGTGATTTTGTTTAACGAAAATTATTTAAAAGAAGAAAATGGAATATTCCGATTTGGCACAATGTGCATATTACTTGTGGTACAGAATTGAGGACAAGATCATCATATTTTTATATGATGTGAAATATTTAAACCGGGCTACAAGCTGCGGTAGATGTTATATAAGGACGAGGTCCTTGTGGTGGAAAAAAAATTGTGTTTAAATGCTTCCTTTGTGAAATTAAAATTTGTATTATATTATTTACAGGGAGTCATGCCTATTAGGCTTATTTGAAACTTCTTGTATGAATATCTCTGTGCATAATTTGCCAAATTTGAATTGTAATTATTGAGTTTTAGCCTACGAGGTGAGTGACCAGGTAGCATTAAATTGTGACTCGTTAATTTGGGTAAGTAGTTATGAGGTCTTCATTTCTCGTTGTTAGTAAAGTGGAGGTTGAAACGAGATCTTGTTAACATGAATTGGCGATGTTGTAATCTATTATGAACAACTATTAAGACCAGAGATGTGGTTATGGTCATACATATGATGCGTTTCATATGAAGATATCACTATGATAATGTCGTGCTTGTAATGCGGAGATTAGTGTTATTGATATATACATTGTGGTGCTTTGTTGGGTTGTGAATGTGTTGTTAAGAGTTGTTTTGGTGTTACTCCGACAGGTGGATAGGCCCAATTACAAGGGAGACTCTGATACCAACTTGTCACGACCCAAAATTCCCACCTTTGGGACCGTGATGGCGCCTAACATTTCACTTGCTAGGCAAGCCAACGTTAGAATAATATTAGTCATTTTTAAACCCATTTAATTTAATTAATTACAGCTAAACAATGCGGAATTAAAATCTGAAATAAAGTGATTAATCCATAATAATAGCGATGTCTAAAAACCATCCCAAAACTGGTGTCACAAGTACACGAGCTACTAGAATAATACAAATAAAGGTCTGAATGAAAATAAAACTGGCTGAAAGAAATACACAACTATGATAAAGTGGAAGGGGACTTCAGAATTGCGAACGCCATGCAGTTATACCTTAAGTCTCCTGTGAATAGCTGAATCTAAGCAAGTCTAATGTGCGCCGCTAGGACCAACTCCAGTATCTGCACAACAAAGTGCAGTGTGTAGTATCAGTACAACCGACTCCATTGACTGGTAATTGTCGAGTCTAACCTCGACGAAGTAGTGACGAGGCAAAGGCGGGTCACTTACATCAACCTGTACGCAATAATAATAATAATAACAATAATAAAAGGCATGAATAGAAATAAAACAGTTAACTCATATCAACAATCGAAGCCAACTCGGGAAGCATAAATAATTATTACTTCTGAAAATGTTGGTTTATGTTTAGTCAACAATGGCATGCCAATTGGAAGAGTTGGTGGAAAAAGTTGGTGTGGATGCTAGGAGGAAGCTTCCTCCTTTGATGTCACCCATGACATCAAGAGGAGGTAGTTTGATGTCACCAATGACATCAAGAGGAGGTCTTTACCTCTATAAATAGATGCACTCCTTCACTTGTAGAGATCATCCCAAAATAATACAATACATTGTAGTGAGTAGAGAGTTAAGAGAGAAATTCTCTTAAGTGTAATTGGGAAATCTCCCCTTCCTTTGTTAATATTAAAAGGGCAATTGTTCTCTGGTGGACGTAGGATTATTTTGATCCGAACCACGTTAAATCTTGTGTCTTTCTTTTACGTTTCAGCTAACAATTGGTATCAGAGCGAAAGGATTCTTTAACGATCCAAGGAGGAAGAACAAGCAAATATGAGTTCCATGAAGTTTGAAATT